GATTCGTTGGAAAGATTCGTTTTCCACTTTCGCCATTTTGATTATTGTTGCTCCAACGAATCTTTCTGAAGAAGTGTTGGACAAAAAAGATCCCTTTAGAAGAATACGTCTGTTATTTTCAAAGCCGCACAAACACACAACACGCAGACACACGCAGACACACACACATACATATATATATATATATATATATATATATAAATGAATGAGATAAAGATATATATGTTTATATATCAAGACTAGTATGGGTAAATTGAAGGCAAAATGTTAAAAGTTTATTTGTGACGCGTTTCATCCGTTAAGACTTAACGGATGAAACGGGTTACAAATAAATATTTTATATTTTATATTATATATATATATATATATATATATATATATATATATATATATATATATACGCAAACACACATATATATATATATATATATATATATATATATATATATATATTTAGTCAGTAACAATTCATACAAACAATAAATGTTTAATTTTTTTACAATTTTTAAATAACCTGTGCATCCAAATCAAAAATCAAAATTGTTTTTTGTTGTTTTGCGGGTGTAATCTTTCACGCATGTGCGTGTATGTTACTCTTAATATCAAAACAGACTGTTTCTCAACAAAATGGCTTCGACATGAACTTCGATCTTTCACTCCCTCCACAACATTGTTAAGTATTCTGTACTAGTTGTAAACAGTGTCAATTCAAACTATTCAATTATTAATTATCATTAAGATTATTATAATCATTATTAATAAAGTACCTCCACAGAAAACGCGATACCAAAGGTTTAAAATTTATTTTTGAAAAGAAAACATTTTCTTCAAGCCTTTATTATAGTTTTAATTTCAAGCTAATAGATTAAATTTAATATTTCCAATAAGCAAAATACTTCGCAGTATTTCAAAGCTAATTTAAAACTAATTTAAAAACAGTTGGAAGGAAAGTTTTTCTTTTTTACTTGTTAAAATAGCTGATTAGCGCCATTTTTAGCCATCTTTCGTCACAATGTAATTTTCTTTATTAAAAAAATTTCCAAAAATAAAATATACTTTGCTGAAATTTTATTTGAGGGAGATCAGCTGATTTATGTGATCGGAAACAAATATTATTTATTTTAAGTTTAAAATAGTGCATTTTTTAAGCACATCAATAGTCGTTTATTTAATTCGTTGATATATCGATAACTTGAATGATAGATGTATGTCTATCTAATGTTTTTTTCTATGGTGGCTATATCTGTAAAAAAAAATAATTAAGTAATATAACGCGAGCGCTTTTTTTATATAATTTTTAAGTACTCAGTAATCTTTAAAATTTAGGAAAATATTCTCCGTAACCTAATTTTTTATTGAATGTTCGATACTTTAGCTTTAAATTTACTATCATTATCGCTCTTATTTTCCGACACAATCGTGTATAAACAATTATGTCTATAAAAATCGACCCTTTCGTGCACATAAAAAACAAATTCAAGATTATTTTTTAAATATTTGTGTTTGATGATTTTTACTAAGCTTTTCCATTTATGATTATTAAATATATATTTTTATTTAATAACAATATCACCTAACGAGAATAAAGTAAAGCAGAAGTTTAAAAAATTTGAAACTTTATAAATTATTCTAATTTTAAGAAAAGCAAAAAAAAAAACAATTCTTGTAAAAATTCGTTATTCATCGAATTTTTTTTTCTTAAGACAATAATGTCCATAATATATCTTATTCATAAAAGCAATTAAAAGCTTTTTCTAATTAAATAATGGTTTAATTTTATTGCATTGTTTATTTTGCGATTCACAGCAGATTTTCGGTAACTGGTATTTCTGCCTTACAATGAATTATTGATTTAAATTCTCCAAAGAGTACTGATTTAATCTCATACAAACATTAATTTGGACCAAATTTAACTTCTCGAAATTAAATAAGTATGTGGTAACAGATGTGAAAAATATATTTACTAAGATTTTCTAAAAATCACATTTCTAAAATAATTTCATTCATTTATGAATAAGTTCCAAAACTTTCATTAAAATCCGATAATTATTTGATTTTTGCAAGAATTTCCAAATCAATGAGTTTTTCACCGCAAGAAAGACGTTAAAATCCCCTATACTATTCTTTCGTCTCCCCTTTCACACAAGAAAAAATAGATTTTTAACCAAAATTCGGAACGCTCTAAAAGAGATCACAACATATAATTTAATAATCAAAAAAAGTTTTATTCTTTCCTCTTAGCTTTGGTCTTTCCTCTTAATAATAGCATAAAGATTTTGACGATAAAACTTTCTTTTTATTAGGTTTGGGCTATTTTTCATCATGGTAGGCTCATATTTTAGCAAATCAGTTGAGGTACCTATATTAATCATTCTCTGGCTATAATGCAAAAGAAATACATAATTATTTCTTTTTAATATTTTAAATCAATATTTAGTAAAGTTTTTGTTTTTATAAAATTCTCATAAACTTAGTGTTGAGATGTTGTGAGTTTCCCGCGTGTCGGTGTATGAATCAAGACAAACACAGTTGTAGAGGAAAATACTGGTATATTTGTAAAAGCAATTAACAATAGAGTGATTAGTAGAACGAAGGTTGGTTAGTACGAAACAATATCCAAAGTCTATAGTCCAACGGTATGTAACGGGTAAGCTTATCTGGACTGCTGACGCTCTGTCTCTCGCTCTCTCGTCCTCTCTCTAGAGCTGACTTATATAAGAGGGACCAGTCCATTTCTAGTTAGAAGGTGGGTGCGCCCCAACACTTAGTTATTTAGTTTTATAATTATACTATTAATTTTTATTATTATTTTATTAATTTTGAGGAAAAATAATTCTAAGTATAAATGATGGTTAGATGTTTACTAAAGGAAAGCAGAGACAGTTTCAAGCACTGACGATACTGTCTGTATATTCCAAAGCAAGGAGAATAATTTTGAGTTTTTATTATTATTTTAAGAAATCTGTACAAAAATGGCCGTAGAACCGTAACCCACATACCTTTTCGGTCAAGCTAAAGCTCTAATCACCTAAGTAACTTTATATGCACCAAAAATATTTCTTATAAAAGAACTGTCTTTACCTTAAGAGAAAGCCACCCACTTTGTGTCAATGTCAAGTGGCGTAAAATTATAGGATAGGCGAGTAACGACTTGTCTATGTCATACTGTATGTGTGTGTTCTCAATTCATAAGATTATGTAGGGCAAGTATTTATAAAAGCTAATTATAGAAATCAAATCGCTCTTCGAGTCGCGCGTCTGAGTAAGCGCTCAAGTGCTTGTTGATGTATAGGTATGCGTAATAGAGAAAAAGGCATTATATATGTTAATACAATATGTTCAATTGTATAGAAGTTGGTATTTAATCTGAATGTATAGAGGAAATCTGCATGTGTGTGTGTGTAATTATATGTATATGTGTATGTATTTCAATTTCTAGCAAGATTCTTAAATTGCCTGTAATGGTTTATAAGTTTATCGAAGAATACAGTAGATTGTTGTCATATATGCTTGCAGATATTGCTTTAGGAGCCCAAATTTGGCAAATACTACCATTTGTCGAGAATCTGCAAGTATCACAAAGAATTATGAGGGGTGTTGCTCCAGTATTGTACCCCGAAACATATACACATATGACCACACACATAGGCATTCGTACAAGTGCATAAATTTTCACGCGCACACACACACACACGTGTATTCGTTATTATATCGGAATTAATTTTTTTAAGTTCCAGCAAATGATATTATAGAAATAATAATAATAATAATCAAAAGTTCTGGAGTTTCATAAAAATAAACCGTTGCGATGGTTGTGGAATCGCTAATCGAATATGACTATTTCTAATACATTAACATAAAAGTTAAAACAACTACAAAGACATATAACTTAAAACTACTATTAAAACATATTTTACGATAACTATTAAGCCATATAAGTTACGATAAATGTTAAGACATATCAGTTATGATAACTATTAAGACACATAAGTTACGATAACTCTCATGACATAAGTTACAACACCTATTATGACATATTATTTAAGCCAACTATTAAAATATATAAGTTACGATAACTGTTAAGACATATAAGTTACGACAACTAATAAGACATAGGCTAAGACAATAAAAATGTCAAGACATATGTTACAACTATTAAGACATATAAGTTACGATAACTCTTAAGACATATAATTTAGAACTATTAAGACATATAAGTTACAATAACTATTAAGTTATATAATTTACTACAAGTAATAAGACGTAAGTTACGACAACTATTGATACATATAACATAAGACATATATTAAGACATAAGTTACGATAACGATTAAAACATATAACCTAAGGACACTATCAAAACATATAACTTAAGACAATTATTAAGATATATAATTTAAGACAATGATTATGATATAAAGGTAGGAGGCAAATAAAAAAAGAGAAAAAACGAAAGCGAAAGACCAAGAAAATAAATAAAAATCTGAAATAGAAAAAGAAAAGAGATGTAGAAAATATAAAAGAGGAAAATTTAAAAGAGAATAATCAAAAAAGAAAAAGAAATGGGAAATTGCAAAATCGAAAGCGAAAATCTAAAAATTTAAAAAAAAAGCAATAAGAGAAAATATGAAAGAGAAATAGCGATATAGAAAAATTATAATAGAAAGAAAAAGGTGAAAGGAACAAGAACAAGAGAAAGTGTTGTGAAGTGATTTCACAGTGAAGGCTTGTATTTGTACTAAGTCGGTCCTAAAATAGGTTCGACGTACAAAACGTTAGGAACTTGATATAATAGGTATAACGCAGAGTTGTGGTCGCTGATACTTTAGTATTCGACTAACGGTCGTCCGGCATCGACTGACTCACTGAGCGACTCGTTACTCTTACTTATCCTACTTATTATAGATGGGAGAGTCTGTTAACTATAGAATAGGTGTGTTCCACTAAAACAGAAAGAGAAAATGTGAAAGAAAGAAAAAAGAAAACGTGAAAGAGGAAAATCAAAAGACGAAGAGAAAAATACGAAACAGAAAAGGAAAAGATAAAAATGTGAAAGCGAAAAATGATATGAGGAAGAGAAAAATGTGAAAGAGAAAAATGTGAAAGAGAAAAAGAAAAAGAGGAAGCGGAAAGCGAAAAGGCGAACGAGAAACAGAAAAATGTAAAGTAGAAATATGTGAAAAAGAAAATGTAAAGGAAAAAAAAGAAATCACATTAATGGTATAAGAAAATATAGAAAGGTGATGGAAAATATATACGGAAAAGATGTACTATCAAGGAAAAGAAAGGGGATAATATTTCGGCCGAGAAATAGTTGATTATATCAATGATGATTCAAGGACAACAAAGACACAAGCGAACAGTTAGATTTGTCAAGTCTAAAGAAAGAAAGAAACAAACAAACAAACAAACAAATTAAAGAAAGAAAGGGTGTTGAAAAATGAAGAAAAGAAAGAAAGAGTATGGAAAAATGAAGAAAGAGAGAAAGAAAAAGAAAAAAGAAAGAAAAAAAGATTGTTCAAAAATGGAGAAAAGAAAAAAAGAAAGAATGGAGGTAAAAGAAAGAATAGAGGAGGATTAAAATAATGAGATAATAAGAAAGAAAGAAAGAAAAGAAAGAAAGAAAGAAAGAAAGAAAGAAAAGAGTGTTGAAAAATGGAAAAAAGAAAGAAAGAAGAAAAAGAAGAAAGAATGGAGGTAAAAGAAAGAAAGAATAAAGGAGGATTGAAAAATAATGAGATAATAATGAAGAAAGAAAGAGTAAAGGAGTGTTGAAAAATGAAGGAAAGAAAGCAAGGAGGTACACAAAAAAGGAATAAAGAAGTTTTGAGCAATAATGAAATAAGAAAGAAAGATCTAATAATCCGTAACGGAAAAGATTTCAACAGGAAAGAAAAGAAGGATAAAGAAAAACAGCAGTGACTGAGATCAGATAAAAATAGTATAAGAAAAAGGAGAAAAAATTGATATGCAAAATGTTGAGAATACAGGAAGAAAAAGAAGGAAGCAAGCAAAATTCGGGGCAAAAAGAATCAATTATTTAAAAAAAAAAAAAGTAGCCAAGAAAAATAAAGAAAAAATAATGAATTAAACAAGAATAAAAAAAAAAAAGACAATTTGTTAAAAAAAAATCAGAAGGCGTGATGTGTGTGTGTGTGTGTGTGTGTGTGTGTGTGTGTGTGTGTGTGTGTGTGTGTGTATGCGCGCGCGCAGGCGAGTCGATGTACGAGTTTGTTACTTGAATGAAAAGAGTCAAATGTACGCCTCGGGCCTCACCTTGTACAGGTGCACAAGTAATAAAACGCTCAGACCATTCACGGAGACCAACGGGGTTTCTCCAGTCAGGGACAGCCAAGTATTGTGGTTCCGTGTTTACCTCTCCACCTGACGCTATTTCTAAACTGTAAAGGGTGTAAACCAAAGACGCTACTATATCACATCATTTTCCTACAAAGACGACAGTTTCAATAACAATAGTAATAATAATCAACATGAATACTAATCAATTAATAACTATTATTATTATTATTATTATTATTATTATTATATTTTGTCACACAGTGCAAGTTTTTGAATATACCGAGTACATTAAGTTATCTGTCAATCACAACAAGGAGTTCAGACAGACAGCACTTTCCTCAAAATATGCGCAGTGCCCAAAAGAGCCGATTTGGGGAGGACTCCCAGTTGGTATGGTATCCCCAGTTGGGATAGATAGATAGATAGATAGATAGATAGATAGATAGATAGATGTGAACAGTTTGAGATAGATTGGTTTTGTATAAATTAAGTTTATGGAAGCGAACAATCGCGACAGAAATACATCAAACTATAAAAGACAAATACGTCATACAGATTTAATGGGATTGATCCCAATGCTCCAATCACCACTGGAATCACTGACATTCTCTTCTTGTATTATAAACAATCTTGACATTCTCAACTTTCAAATCAGAGTAATCTGTTAATTTCCTACTCAGCTTGGTTGTTATACTCATCTCATTTCGTATAGCAACATCAATAATATGGCAATCCTCAGTGTCTTTATCCGGCACAATAATATCCGAACGGCGATGGTGTATCACTCTGCCTGAAAATCATAGTCTAAGAATATTGTGGGATTTACAAATTCTTCTACTGTTCTGCAAAGCATATGCTTGTTTTAATTTTCTGCAATTTGGTATCCATACTTTCGATACTTGTATATAAGGCTATATTATCATCATTATTATTATTATTATTATTATTATTATTATTATTATTATATGTTTTTATTTACTTTAATTTCTTGCTGGGTTCCGCCCAGTAGCCTAAGGTTAGAAATGACATCATGACATTTTCCACTGACCAATAGAAAAAAAAACCACAAACATATTTTACATAGATAAAGCCCTTTGTAAGGTGTGGACTGTACTTGTAAGAACAATTTTTTGTATTTCTTTAAGGCATGGGTTCCAGGAATCACTTCAATTTGTCTACTGGAATCTTTTTCAACCAATCCGAGGGCTCCAACTACAATAGGAATTGTTGATGTTCCCATGTACCACATTTATTATTATTATTATTATTATTATTATTATTATTATGTATTTGGATAATATAATGATTTTGCGGCTCTTCTTACTTTTTGTGTTATATCACTTAAAGACATGGGAGATCATGGCTCAGTGCAAATAATCTGTTACAGCTTAAAGTAATGTTGACCCGTTTACTATTTCTCCCCGTCCCTATTCTGGCATCCATATGCACAAAGATGTTAGGTAGGTTACTCGCTGTTTCCCTCTCCCTCTCTTTCTTTCAATGTATCCTGTGAGTGTCAAATCTTCCAAACTCGCTTTCCTCATTATGAATTTCCAAGTCCAAATGTACTTTCTCTTCCTATTTTCCTTAAAACTTCCTCCGTTCATGGCATTCACGGCATCATTCTGCAGATTAAAATTATCCACTGGCCTAGTAGATAAAAGGGTTGGTTGGATCCACTGACTTGACCCAACCAGTTGTAAATTCATTCCCTGGCTACTGCAGTGGTGAACAAAAATTTTAAAAGTTGAGTTAAAGGGAGATAACTGAGACAACCGGAAGAGGCATGGCCCGTGAAAATAGAACAATCAACTTCGGTGGACAAAATAAATGGTTCAGTTCGAAATTCCAGTCACCTGAAGAAAGCCGAAGCGTACAACGGTCGAAACGTCATAGATATTTCAACGAAGATGAGGACAACAGTCCGTACAATGTAATTAGTGTAAATAATTACAATACCTCATCTGAGAAATATAGACAGATCATGAAGAAGCCCGGAGTATACAACGGCTGAAACGTCGTGAATATGACAACGAAGATAAGGACAACAGTTTGAACAAGGTAAATAGTCTGTCAACTTTCTGAAATGAGCTATTGCAATTATTTACATTATTTACATTACGAAAGGCCGTGAATACGACAATAAAGATGAGGACAAGAGTCCACACAATGTAAATAATGTAAATAATTACAAAACCACATCGCAGAAATATAGACAGACTATTTCCATTGTTCAGACTGTTGTCCTCATCTTCGTTGCCATATTCACGACGTTTCGGCCGTTGCATATTCCGTACTTCTTCATGACCTGTCGATATTTCTCAGATGAGATATTGCAATTATTTATACTATTTACATTGTTCGTACCGTTGTATTCATCTTCGTTGCCATATCTACGACGTTTCGACCGTTGTACGCTCCTGCCTTTTTTAGGTGTTTGTAATTTCGAACTGAACACTTTATTTCGTTCACTGGGGTTGATACGGACAACAATCCGAATAATATAAATATGTAAATAAACATAATTCATAGGGTGATATTCTTTCTCTTTTAAACGTTAATATTGTTTGAGTTTCAAATAGACAACCTTGAACGATTATTTATTTTATTTTATTTTATTTTATTTTATTTTTTTTTAGTGGCGGTGGGGATAAAAAGCCACACGCGACATCCTTTACTCCAACACAATCTTTTTATTTTTTATTGTTTAATTACAAGAAATTATATCAAAGAAATATTTTAAAATTATTCTTTTACTTTGCAGCCTACCTCTTCTATCTCAACCACCTCATCTATTGCGTATGTTTTAATAAATATGAATTCATTTTTCGATGCTCTTTTAGAAAATAATGCGATCATTGAACTCGACAATTTGCAATGACTTTTTTCTTTTTTTTTTTCAAAATGACCTTCCATGTTACCAAGTTATCAGATTATTCAACGTCAACGCGAAAAACGGCAATCTATTTCATAACTTAACCCTTTGCCTGTCCTGCACATCATATGTGATGTACAGGACGTGTGATTTCTACAACTGTGCACCATATCTAGTGCACACAAGCCATGATTTTAAAAGAGTGGTAAAACTAAGGACGCTTACGAAAAGAGTCTACTATTAAGTAGGACGTCTAAGGAAAGACCTAATCTAATATTTTGTGCATTATATATGACCAAGGACGCTTGACTGATAATGTAGGATCTCAAATGAAAGACATCTATTCTTTCACTTTATTGAAATGGTTATAATATTGGCATCACATATGATTGACAGAGCGTAGTGTAAATGACTTATGATTTGTACGTTCTGTGCAAGCATGGGATTTTATTATGTGAAACACTATATATCAGCACATTCTGTTTGCCAAATAAGTTGCCATGCAATCTGAAAACAAGCGTAAACTTTGGATAGTGCACACGAAGATGCCCTGAATAGGCAAACGGTAAAGTTAGGTGATATTGCTTTTGTTCTTCGACTTGACCATTCTCTATTCGTTTGGCGGATCGGGAGCATTTTCTCGACTTTTCCTCTAAGTAATATTTTTAAAATCTTTTTGCTATCCTTCTTTCTCACTGAACTGGCATCTATTCACCCAAACTCGTTAAATAGGTTACCGATTTCTTCCTCTACTTCTCTTGCCTTCAATATATCCTGTAAGTATTAAATTCACCAGACGCTCTTTCCTCATTATGTAACAAAGAAATATCAGCTGCCGCTTTTTGATTGAAAGTATGTTTCATTGTTGTTCTTATTTACTTTAAGATTCCTCCTACTCCAACTCGCAGTTCTGAAAGCATCATTTTTTTTCTGTGTGGGATCTAAGCATGTTAGATAATGTACACTCGCGCATGCACACTGAGCATTAAATTATCTCCCTTTATATATTATTATATAATTATAGAAATGAAGTTGCTGTTTTGAAATTATATCAATGAACAGTATCACAATAAGTTCGTATTACGTAAATGTTTAGTTATTGTAAATTAATATATTTGTAGCATTCAATAAAATGCAATGAATGTGTGCTGGGAATATTTATTTAAATATGATATTTAAATGGGAAATATTGTGTATTTTGTAAATAAAGATAATCTGACATTCGTAGTTGAATTGGTCTTATGAAAACCCAGTTGATAATTGAAATCGAGATTTTATCTACATCAAGTGGCATTATTATCCATAAATATGCAATTATATAGGCTGATCATTGAAATGAAAACGTCATTAAATCCAAAAATCAGTTTTATTCTGTCCATCTTTAGATAGGGATAACGAGAATTATTATGATTTATGCCATTCATATCAGTTCATCTATTCATTGAGTTAACGGAAAAGTCATTTTTACCATTCATATCAATTCATTCATATTCATTCAGCTTAATCAACGACTCTTGCAAGAAGCCATTTGACATCAAATTTCTCCAATGATTCAATAACATTTTTAATATGTTCTCCGTCACGAGTAGAATTATTGTCTGATTAGTTTTTTTTTTTCCACGGGGAGCGGATTATAATTGTTGCATTTATTTTCATATTGATCCTATTATTCAAATAAATCTAACCACGATTGATGAGCGGGTGGCCGAGTAGTAAGAACGTTGCAGATTCGACCGCGACACCCGCGTTCGTATCTAAACAGGGTCGATTTTTTGAAGAAGTCAACTTTTTGAGAATATCAACATAGGGAGATGATCCGAGCGAGCGGCACCTTGAGAAGTGTATGAAAACTGTACCACGTGATGGACCAAGCCTTGTGAGTAAAATTCGATAGATGAAACTGTTTGGAAGCCGTCGATGACAGCACAAATTTGACAAGTCATCGTGACCGGGGACTGGCCTTACTTGTTTTGTTCAAACTTATTCACACCATACTATATGCACCCTCCCAGAAACTGTAACTAAGGTCCATCCAGCATAGTTGTAGTATAAGCCTCAGGTTGCCGCTGTCGTTGCTGAAGATGTGACATTAACAACAGGGATGGGCTAGACATCCGAGCAGGCGAGCATACTCGGAAACGGGTAGCTTGTTTGTAATGTTATGAACATCCCATTATGGATTATTTTTCATGTTCTATATTCTACTGAAAAATCTGTTATGATAGTAGTCGTAACTGTAGTTTAATAAGTAGCAATAGCAGCAGTAGTATTAGTAGTAATAGTCGTAATAAAATTAAAAATAGTATTAGTAGTAATAGTAGTGATACTACTACTACTACTAATAATAATAATAATAATAATAATAATAAAGGTATAAACGATGTTGTTTCTGCTCTTACGATTTACATATATCCAGTGAGGATCGAGTTCACTACTAATGATCTAAAAGTTCATTGCTGATCATTATACCACGATGAAACTACACTTTAATTTCTACTGTTGTTATCACGATTGCTAATATCGCCATTATGACATGGACAGAAAGAAAACTGCAGGAACTCCGAGACAAGATAGCAAAGGAAAGCTTGAAGAAAAGAATAACTATCAATTGTAAGAATTTTTGCCATCCTCCGTCCAAAATTGACAGAAGGTATTGTTGTTAACCCAAGTTGCAACCTATGAGTTGAAAACCTCAGAATCAAGCACGTGCAGAAATTCAACTCTTTATGAAATACTATAACAGACAACCGAAAATCGAAATTCGAAACCGTATTGGAATGGTGAATGATACATTTCAAAAAATAAACAAAGGGTTAGGAAACAGATTTCATTAGAATCAAGAAAAATGTGCTGAACTCCTATGCAATATCAGTCTCTCTATATAACAAATGAATACTTGACAATTTCTTCACCGATTAAAAGGAGACTTGACACAGCAGAAATATTAGTCTACAGAAGGATGCTGAGAATACTATGAACGGAACATGTGAGCAACACAACAATTGTGTGAGGATTTTATATTTAAAATTAATCTAAAAATTCTATTAAACCTTTTCTAATATCTATTCTCTGAAAGTTCTTTAAATAGGCCCAAGTCTATTTGATCCTATTTCTCTTGACTTCAATATTCCCTGTAAGTCTTAAATTCTCCTGGCCATTTGACAAAATAAAATAGCGGACATCTTTCCTTTGTATTATCGTCTTCTGATTCAACTTGCATAATATTTATTATTTACATGCGGATTGTTGTCCATTTTTGTTGTTGCATATAATTTATAGACAATAAATTTCTAGGAAAGAGTGTTGGACATGCGAAGACGAAACCAACCCATACGAAATTACAAACGGTTTAGAATATGAATAATAATAGAAAAAAAACGTTGAACACATTTTTTAAAATAAAACAATGTTTTCAAAGAAAAATATCAGGATCAGACTAGAATTTTCAATAGGTGCTAAAAAGTGATAATGAAGCAATTTATTCAACATAAATATTTATCTCAAAGCATACCGGTGACTATGGTATAGTATAGTATATTCATAGTAATGTCTTAATTTCTGTGAGGTTATATGTGGTTGTTTTATGACAGGTATATATGTTCGTTAAACAAAATGTCTCATTTTATTAACACAATGCCAAAATAAATATATAAACTATTGTTATTATTATTATTTTTATTATTATTATTATTGATTTTTGTTGTTAGGATCAGAAATGGCATCATGACATTTTCTACTAATTTTTTTTTTATTGTAAAGAAAAAAAAACAAATAAGATCACACACATTTTACATAGTACGTGTACTTGTGAGTGCAATTTTTTTATTTCTTTAAAGCATGGTTACCAGGACTTCCTTCAATGAATCTATTAGAATCTTTTCCAATCAATCGGAGGTCTCCAACTACAACTGGAATATTGATGTCCTCATGTGTCACATATTTTAGATCTCCACTTCAAGATACTTGTATTTTTAAAGATCTTCGAAATTATTTTGCAGTCTGCTGGGACAGCTATGTTTATAAGAAATCATATTCTCTTCCTGTGGTCTTTGATCACAATCCCATAAAATTGTTACATAAACTGTAACCGAGTCTGTGTGATGTTCATACCAGTTTGTTGCAGTTTCCTTCCCGTAAAAGTTATTATTATTATTATTATTATTATTATTATTATTATTATTATTATTTGTAGTAGTAATAGTAGTAGTAGTAATACTGTGATGGAGAACACTAGACCAACAAAATGAGGTAGGAATACAAATATACAAACTTTAATATACTCATGATGATACCCATTCTGATAAGTGTATACCATGCGCATGCATCACAGTCAAATGTACAGGTTATGTTAATATACCTTGATAAAAGCAGGCACATTACCTTGCAGGTGGGGCCCAGTTAGAAATAACTTTATGTCGGACAACACAACACTTTATGTCACACAGTCCTCGATTGAGTGTTAAAACATATCTAGATGTGACTTCCAAATCACCTTAGCTGGCTCATACTTCAGATTTAAAAAAAAAAAGAAGCAAACCTCACTATATCCAGTCATTAAACTACCCCACTATTCCCACTCATCAACAGAGCTGCATAGTGTGTCAGTCCCAAAGGGGACATGCCCAACCTGGTTAAGGTCAGGCAACTGGCAATCAAATCAGTGGTTCTGAGCGGGAAATTTACTCTTGCGCATCTTAATTCACTAAAGAAAGTCACATGTATGTTAACAGCCCAATCAATTAAGATAAGAAGCCACGTTTATCATTATTATTAGTAGTAGTCGTGGTGATAATAGTAGTAGTAGAAGTCGGACTACAACACGCCTACTTTTAAATTAGTGATTTTTCTACTTAATTTTATTTGTATTTATCGACCATTTCTCTCAAATTGAATCAATACCGACTGGTTCACAAATCATCCCGATGAGTCATAATCAAAGAACAAACACGGTCCAAGAGTCTAATTCCAAACAAAAATGACGAGAATACAAATCATTCATTTTTACTCCTAATTTTGACTTTAAATAATAGTCAATTAAGTGCTATACTTGATACATGCTTGGGCAATCATGTCTCTTTCAATTCATGACTGACTAGGCAGAAGACTTTACCGCAGTAGGCTTCTATTTCTTTCTGCGGTAGACTGGTTGCCAACCAAGGCTATAGAATCCAGTCTGTCTGCTATTGTAACCAATAGCTGGTGGTGGCGAGAAGTAACGGTTTCATACCTTTCCCAAGGTTATTTGTGCATAAGTGAATGTAACGGTGGAGTAATGCATAGCGGTACGGATTGAGGAATCGGAGAGCTGGGTTCGAATTCCAGTCGAATTCATTGCATTCACTTACATGCTGATACCCTTGAATTCTCTTCTCCTCGCCCCCAGTTATAGATAAATAGCAGCACAGTTTTTTAGCCTTTGATGGCATCTGGTCTACCGCAGAAAAAAAAGGCAACCTACTGCAGGAAAAATCTGCTTCGTCAGTCATGTATTTAAAGACACATGATCGCCTAATCGTGTATCACGCATGGCACATAACCAACTGATACTCTAATACAAAACACACTGTGACTATTTATCAGTCACGAAGACTAGCCTCCCTTATTTACTAATATCGATATATATAGCAACAGGAAGC